CTGCCCAAATAAATAACTTTTTAGATTCAAGTTCAAAATTCCCCAAGCCTAGAAATTTATACACTGTAGAACGGCAAAATTGATGTTCAAATTTCACGAGGGCCAGTTCAGCCGTTTACGAAATAGATGTAGCATTAATAACTTTTTAAATTCAACTTAAAAATTCTCCCAAGCCCGGAAATTTATTCATTTTATATTGGCAAAAATGCAAAACAAAAAGTTAAATTGATCGAATTAAAATGACGCTGTTAATCTACATCTATCATAAATTACGGTAATTAACTCAAAGTTCCAGGAAAATATTAGAGGGTTAACTACTGGAAAACTGAATAAGATTTATTTTCAGTTCTACGGACTTTTCATGACTGGCTCGGTCATCTCCATGACCCGCCACAAGCTTCGCACCTGCATCAGTGCATGTAGACAAACCCAAACTTGAGAAAATTGCTTGAGCAAAGGAGTTATATTACAAAATAAGTGATCAACAAAAAATTGTTGGAATTCATGATTACTTAACGGTCCAGTCCTAAAGGATCATCCAGGTTTAATAAATTAGCTGGGAGCGAGGTAAGCAGAGTTCTATCCAATAAACAAACTTCACCTATGACGTCCCCCGACATTGGGGAGGAATGTACTCAGACGTGCTACTGCTCCTCACAAAGAGGATGTATATAGGAGCCTCAGGCACGGGAAACACGCTCTCGTCGAACCACAACGACGTCAGACCAAATGGGGAGCAGGACAGTGGCCAAGCTAAGATGCATTCAAAGTGCTACAAGGCAAAGTTCCGATGCAGCGGGAGCATCGTGCGGCAAAGGTGGTGAAAAAATCTGAACATTCTTGCAACAGCGATTCCTCTTCACATTCGGCTTAAGACCGGCCAGAAATGCGGATTAGTATAAACTAATAAAATTAAATTGGATTCCACCAGATTTTTGTACAAATATTATTGAAATTTCCCGAGTGTCAATTTTGCCTATTCTAAATCTTATCAGTATCTATAAATAACTTAAAAGTTAAACTCGAAAGAAAAAATTTTTCATATAATTAAACTCGCAAAAATTCTCCCAAACCCAGAAATTTATTCCATCTAAAACGACTAGTGAAATTTCATAAATTCTTACTTCCTCAACGGTTATATAGACTCTGCCATACTTATCCTGATTTATTTAACTATATTCTTATTATTTTTTTTAATATAGTAGTGTAGTCGGGAATAATTAAGCACCAACATCGCGGGCCCCTATACTGAAGGTCGAGAGTTTGTACTGTCACCGCCGCATCAGGAAAAGCCATAGAGGAGACGCTTAGTCATCGCCGGCAGCAGCTCGGTCACCTTCATCATAAATTCTACGATTAGATAGTCCGTAAGACTTCAAGCTAAGCGCGGAGATTAATTAAAGCCATTTTGAACTCGGAGCAAGGGACGACGACGTCAACCATCCCTACGTGTCCGGTGCCCCCGTCCTCGGGTAAATCCGTCCTAAACCCGGTGATGTACCCCCGAGATTTTGATTGGTTTGGTTTAAGTTCTCCGGGAGTTTGAGGGAACTTAAGTTAAACAGCTCCTTTGTGTCTGTAGGGGCAGGTATTTTAGCAGTATGATTTATTATCTCATTGTCATTACATGCTATTACGGAAAAATAACAATACATGGAAAGATTTAACCCGACCTATTTATAAAAATCCGACACAGGCCTAAACCTCTGTGCTTAGGCCTGTGTCGGATTTTTATAATATAGGTCGGGTTAAATCTTTCCATGTGTTGTTATTTTTCCTTTTGTTTACTCGTAATTGCCGGATCGAGAACCAGTACGTGCCATTACAGCCACTACGGCCAAACCAACCTGACCAAAGAAAATTATCAAGTTGCCTCTAGAGAGAAAGATCGAAATAAAATAGCATCAATAAATTCAAGGTAAAGCATGACGGACGAAACAGGACTGTGGTCATACGTACGCTTGTTTGGAGCGACATCTTATCTGTCCAAAACATGTTTGTTGCATTTCTTCTCTTGTCCTTGTTAGGAACGGCGGTAAATATGATTTTTGATTAATTGGGCATTCGTACATAGTATGTACAAATTCCATATAATTTAAAATTTAAATCCATTGAAATCGAATAAATGTGAGCTAAAAATTTTTCGATTTGTCATGTGTCTGGATATTATATTAAATTATGTTATGCTATATTATATATTATATTATATTATATTATATTATATTATATTAAAAATTACATTACATTAAATTATACTATATTTATTAGGATCGTTCGAGATAATGGAAATGTACTGAATAATGACTCTATGGAGAGATATGTGAGAGATAAACTAATTAAAAAAGAAAAAATACATACCACTTACAATATATTCCAATATCAGGAACAAAGTGAATTCAAATATATTAACCCGTAAAAGCAAATTGGTAAAATTAATAATGAACGAGGAGAATTGAAAGTTTGCCGTGATAACATCTCGCATGTGTTAAAATGGAATTTTATTGGTACGCTTGTAAGAAATCATTTGCTAGAATAAATTAATTACAAAATGTATCGCTTATGGCCTTAAGCTGTGTAGAATGAAGCAATAATAAAAAAGAGTATTGAGAAAAATATTTGCAGTTCGCAATTATTATGGTGATTGCCAAAAGTTTCATCACCTAGACGCGAAAGTAACTGAACTATCACCACGTGGAAGATCGTAAAATCTGTGGTGGGTAAATGTCTTTTTATTTGCCCAGGCAGCAATATAAGAGACGAGGCTTTACGAATATTATGGCGACAATTCAGTTATATTTTGTACGTAATGGAATATATAATCCAAAACTATTAGAACACATTAAATTAAATATTTTTCTTTTCATTCTTTCTCTGAATGAATGAAATTGCTATCTCACTAATTTTGGAGGTAGTTTACGATATTATCAAGATCTGAATTTACCACTAATTTAATTAATGAACTAATTTAATTTGATTAGCTCTGAAAATGAACAATAAACGGATACGTTCAAACAGTAACACAACATACCAAAACATAGTATGGTTGTCGGCCATCCTACTAAATAATTACAGTTTTTCTAAGTTAACTGTTTTAATATTTGGGTGGACCACTAGTAGCAGATCGGAGGAGTTTGACAATAGTTATCATGTCATAATAGTGCAGTTTAGTTATCATGTCCTTATAGTTTTGTATAGCTATCATGTCATAATAGTGATGTATAATTATTTTGTCATAATAGTGTAGTTTAGATATCATGTCCTTATAGTGTTGTATAGTTATCATGCCATTATACTGATGTATAGTTATCATGTCATAATAGTATTGAATAGTCGGCGTTAAATCTAAGGCCTTGATTGCCTAGACTAAAAAGTGCAAAAATTTCACAGCTAGTTGAGGCTCGAACTCGTTACTCACTACTTCAATATCGCTTTATCACAAATTGCATAAAGAGACATTAGGCTTTCCATAGATTTTCTCAAATTATTTAATAAGTCTTCAATTATTCTTACGAGATATAAAATTATGGAAAAAAATAAACATGAATTATTCCGAGGACAATTTTCTGCTATGAGTATCTAATACAATATATCTGCAAATTAAAAAAATATAAAATATATTAATGAATATAAAAGCGCACAGCTGCAGTAAGGTCCGGACACATTGCATCTTTAACAGTATAACTTTACAATACGGTTGCCATCTCTTCATTGCCAATCGCTGGAAGATTACCTTAAGCAAAATTGAATTTTTTTCGCTTAGGTTTCCTTTTGTTTACGTTCTGACCTTAATACATGAATAGATAACTGGTCCTAAAAAATAACTCTTCTTGCAAGGAGTTTTCATGGCTTGGTATCAGACTAACCTGACTGGCAATTGTGCTGCTGACTCCACCGCTGGTGGTTGTTACATTGTACGCCCGGTACACCTGACAGAGATGAAGTACATCTGACGTTACATCTTTGGCTGTTAAAATTAATATCTTTAATTAATGTCTCATATCTTTGGTTGTTGAAAGCGTTGTACATAATGATATTAAAATGCACTTAATGTGCACAATAATTAGGACCAATTGCCGAACGTTTAAAGGCCTATTAACAGCAACGGTCTTGAAAGTGATCACATTATAATTATTTTGAATCTATACAGATTATTTTAAATGCAGCACATTATTTTGTATCATCAACAATTGAAAAAAATCGTAATAGACAATTAAGAGTTGTGAGCCAAGCCTAAAAATCGGTGAATCGAAACAAATTTACTGATTCTCTTCATTTTAGTGGGAATTTTCTATTTGACCTTCTATAATTTATCGCAACAATAAATGAGAGTAAATAAAGATAATGAAGAAAAAAAACAAATAGATGAAACTGCCCTGATAAACTCACTATACCGGTATTTATGTATATGGTTGATTATCAATGTCACTTGATTGCCTAAATGGAAGATTAACCGGAAAATTCCTTGAAAATAATATGCCCGAAAATTCTCCATTTCTTCATAGAAAACGTATATAAGTACTTATATCATTAGTCTGCTTATATCGCAAGTTCACAAGGAATTTAAAAGCAAAGAAAACACCAAGAAAATTCACCATATCGATATTGAAAAACGCTTCGGAGTCCAGCTCCATCATCAGTTCGACTAAACTAAAAATGAATATGTCTTTGAATTTTGACTTTTAAAGTGATTTTATTCATTTTTAGTTTAGTCGAACTGATGATGGAGCTGGACTCCGAAACGTTTTCAATATCGATATGGTGAATTTTCTCGGCCTTTTCTTTGCTTTTAAATTCCTTCATAGAAAACTTATCGCAGTCCAGCATCATCGTCGAAATTCAAAATTAAGAGGAATTGTGCTTCCTTTCGTGCGCAAGGAAGTTTCCGCATCTATTGAGATTCCTCGATGTAGTATGGTCAAAAGTTTTGGGTCCGGAGTGACGCTCTGCGATGTGCAAATCCAGATAAATTCGACGCATTTTTAAAACTATTCAGGGGAAACAACGAATTGTGATTTCGTTTTCAATTCTCCCTAATTTCATAATATCGAAGCAAGGACTTTTTCGTGCAGAAATTTTGACTATGATTTCGTATGTTAACCAAATAATCAATATTTAACATCGTCCATCGACAGTCCAAAATGAGGAATCACGTACGTTATTTCATTTCTACTTTGTGATATCGTACTAATAATGTGATTTAAACTGTTATGTATTATTCTTGGTCAAGTCAAATTTCTCATCTGCACATTGAAATTCTTTTCCTTAGATTCGGTCTTATATTGAAAAATTTCAGTCTTTCGCTTTTTAGGCTAGCCTGCAATTTAACGAGTAATTATAGGGCTATCATTAAACCACTCACTGTACTTCTATGTATATTCGAAATGTAGCGTAATGTAATTTTTAAAAATTACCCATAAAACGCTTTGAAAATAACGCTGATATTTGTTTTTCTGGCCTGTAACTTACAAATGATATTTCCCAAATGCAGACTTCATCATTTCAACCTATCGTTTAACAGCCAGTGATGTTGAGGTCTCTGCTGGCAGCGTCGACGAGCGTAGCCACGCAAAATATTATCTGTACTACAACAGCGCCTAAGGTTTTCATCGAAGATATTGTTAATTTGCTTGCCCTTTACTTTTCTTTTAACTTCTTGACGTTTACGTATGCATTTTCTTGGCAGTTTGCGTTGTTTTTGCTGCTGCTGGCAGCATCGATTAGCGTCTCTACGAGAACTGATCTGTACTTCAACAGCTCCTTGCCGGCGCCCCAGCAACACTTCAAGTTCCTCTTCCTGCTCCCCACAGTTCTACCCAGTCACACGTGGGCGGTTGCGCCCCTTGCTGTGGCCCTAGCATATAGAGGGCACGAGGTAAAATAAATAGCAGTTTCATTATTAACACACTCAGAAAATAATGAGTTATATTGTCTAAATAGTGACACACATTTAGCATGTAGCACTGATACGTCCTTCTACAGGGCAAAATTGAGACAGAATAATCCACTTAATTATGAAAGTACATCGACATTTTGACAACGTCTAGCAGTAGTCATTTCATGGAACTCATTATTTATCTTGAAGGTTTCTATGTTTACGTTCTACATTTGATTTATGTTCCGGGAAGGTGCACATGTTGTGTGAAAATCCAGACATCTACCAGTTACCGAACGTCACGTGTATCGACCTCGGCTTCAAGTTCGACGAGCCTGAACAACAGCCCAGATATTATGAGGGCGTTAGTGTACTCACGGAAATTAAAAAAATGTTTAGAGCATATAACAATGTTTCATATCAACTATTAACATCGCCGCGAGTTTTGAATCTGTACGACAATCGGAAAAAATTCGACTTCATCGTGGCCGAAGACTTGACTTTAATTGTAAGTATTTTTATAGTCGAAACACATCAGATATATGATGGCACGAATGCCAAATAAATAGGTTTGCTCTGGACGAGAAAGAATTGAAACGGTCCCTTTTACCGTACGCATATTGCCATCACTTAATTTCCTTTTCCGTGTTTTTAATCTTTTCTATTGTATACGGCGGTGGCGATCGAAAATTAATTGGCCTTTAAGGGGACCGGCTCGGTGAAAAATCGAAAATTTTGACTTTCTTGGTTTTTGTTATGAATTTAAAGGTTCAAATCTGACGCAGTTCTGTCTTTTTTGGTTCCCTGAGAAATTTGAATGTTCATTTTTCCACTTCAAAAGTGTTATAACTCCTACAGTATTCAAACTACCGCATTGAAAGACATATCATTCGGTTCGTAAAAGCATGCCTGCCGACTCTAGAAGCATTTTTAGCTCATTTTCTCATTTATGAAAAAAATGCGCTATTGTGCTCGTCATGCCAGTCCGTCCGTCCGTTCGTCCGTGACTTGTTCGTCCGTACGTCCGTCCGTGACTTGCGGTCTCCGAGAAAATGCGCTCTCTGTCACTCACTGCAGTGAGTACTGAGTTATATTTTTTAGTATTTGTGCATGGTTCGCTAATATATGAGGGGGGGGGGGAAGGAAGCGGGCGTGGGGCACGAAAAACTGAGGAAAAATGGTAAAAACGCGCATAAGAAAAACGATGGGGAAAATCTAAAGTCGGGGCTCTAGGGCCGCTAGATAATTTCGTTACGAATCGAATGAAATGTGTTTCGATATTTTAGCATGTGATTTGCAAAAGTTACAAACTTTTTAAAGTACCCCCTATTTTTGCCGTTTTCTATTAATTTTACGTTTTCTTTCATTATTTTCCAAAAATTTACATGACCAAATTGTTTTTAATTTCACTTTTTACGTATGTGTGTGAAATTTCAGAGAAATCGGTTGATAAATGTAGAAGTTTTTCCTGGACGACCTTAACTTACTTGTTCATCTGCAAATCTGAGAGATAATATCACTTGACTGACGCTTGAGCATTCAAAGTTAGGTTTCATTGCAATAATATCTAATAAATGTATGCAACAGCTGGGTTCAATTAACTTTAAGAACTGCAACTACTTCGTTTTGACATCCATCTTTTTCGCAGGTTTTGTATCCTCTCCTGCACGAAATGCCATACGCCCTTTACTCTACCATTGGCTTGAACCCATTTCAAAGCGCAGTGGCCGGTAATGTTCAGAACCCTCTCACTGTAGCCGATGGCTGGTCATACAATTTCCCAGATTCATTTTCTTTCCTCGATCGCATCAAGAATTTGATGACGAATTGCATCCTTTATATTTTTGCGTGGAGCGCTTTTCATAGCGCCGAAATAACGGTGAGAATTACGATTTCAAGAAGGTTTTATTCTAGATAACTACATTCGAAATTTGATCTAATACATTGTCATATTCAAATCACTCCTGCTACTCATCGCTTTCAGAAAAAAACTAATAAAAAAATTGTGTAATCAATTTACTAAAAATTATAATTAATAAAAATATTTTTTATCAGGCGACGGTTCATCTGCCCGAAGCCCCTTCAATGACTGAAATAGAACGCAATGTCAGCATACATTTCGTGAGCACCATTCTGGCTCTTGACGGACCCATGCCACTCCTACCGAACCAGATTCCTGTGGGAGGCATTATACTTCGCCCGCTTCCTGATCTGCCGCCAGTGAGTTTTAACCCTTTAGCGACCGATTTTTTTGCGAGTACAAAAGACCATATTGTATCCATACCATATTGCTGTCTATTCATAGAAAATATTTGACTGGAGACACCAGATCTATCTGCTCATAGCCTCGCCTGAAATTTTAAGCGCTTATATTTGTCCAGTTGAACAAATGAGCTTCATACATAAAGAAAAAACGCAATTTCAAAGGCGAAATATGTAAATATATGTAAAGGTGAAATATGTACAGTTCAACGCTAAAGGGTGTCAAGGCAGATCGTTCTATATATCGATGAAAATTATTTGGTTACCCATCGTAGTGCTGGATTAACTGGAATATTTCCTGTACAACTAAGGTTGCATAATAAATTAAATTGAAATGGTAGAATGAACAGAGTACGTGATGAATCAAATTGAATTGTTCAAATTTATCTGGTGCCTAGAAATAAGCCAAATGTCTACAGCTACCACATGCAATTTTTTATGGAAAAGGGAAACTGAAAAAGTTATATTGATACAATTTGGGCTAATAATTTTGATTTTACCTTCGCAATGAAATAACGGTAAATTTCTAGAATTCGCTGCCAAGAATGAATTCAGCATTAAAATTATTGTCTGTGTCAGAATCCTAATTTACAAAATAATTCGAAACTTAGTCCTTATATAAATTATTCGCACTTTCATTCACAGGAACTTGCTGAGTTTCTAAGGGGTGAAGAGCCTGTAGTTTACGTGAGCTTTGGGCTATCTACACTCAAAGACGATAGCATCCCACGCCAATTGAAGGATATAATGTTTTCTGTCTTCGCAAAGCTTCCGTACAAAGTAATTGTGAAAATATCAAATCAAAAAACAAGAAGAAGCAGCAACGTTCTTTACGTTGACTCGGTGCCTCAGCAGAGCATTCTAGGTGAGAATGTCGATGATAAACTATCTGGTGCTTGAACAGCAAAAAATTTTCTGCGGAATTTTTATGCAATATGCAATTAATTTGATCGTTTGACGATATGACGTTGCCTTTTTGTGATTCACCACTTCCGAGTAAATAAAATATTCTGTAAGTCACAAGCAATTATGACAAGCATGTAATCAGTTTCGCACTTGCATATAATGAGTTTAAAAAATTATCTGTTCAGCTCATCCCAACGTAAAGGTGTTCGTTTGTCACTTTGGGCTGAGTGGTACGACCGAGGCCCTTCAAAATGGAGTACCGATTGTCGGCTTACCGGCTATTTACGATCAACTTCGAACAGCAAAACTTCTGGTTAAACATGGAGTAGCTATTCAACTGTCATGGGCTACATTGGAAGAAAATGTTCTAAAAGATGCCATCGAAGAGGTCATGCACAATCCAAGGTTAGTAAATTTCATAAATTGGGTAGCCTCTACCGTCAATGACATAAAGTCGCCACTCAGAAGCTACTGCACTCAACTCGCCGCCAGTCAATAAAAGCCGAATAGCACTGGCCAGTGGCCAGAATTATGATTTGTAGGGTTCGGTTGCCACTTAATAACTAAGAAACTTTTTCGGTCGTGATAAAAAATTGTGGCTCTATTTTGTTAACAAAATAGTTTTTTCCTTAGATGGCCGGCGACACGAGTGCTGTGGCGAAGTTGGTGGCATTGACGTTGGCCGTTTCGAATATTGCATGGGAAGATTTCTTTACAACTCAGAGCTATGTGTTTTCAAATGGACTGTCTCTCTTTTGGAATTTTAATCATATCGCTATTCGAAACCATCCTTAATAATATCTTGCACTGCATTATTCACATACAGATTTTTAAATAATCCTATATCCGTAAATGGTGTAAGTAGTTACATAACCGAGCGCATGGCGCCATTTTCCATAAACAGCTTAAGTCATAGGTCACCATAACCATTTACCCCGAATATTACCCAACAAAATTAACCAATTACCCTGATCCTTCAATATTATTACGAACAATTACCCCGAATCTGTATAAACAGCTTAACAGGGTACCGATCATGAATCTTACCCAACAAAATTAACCAATTACCTCCGAAATCATGGGTTAACGATCATTTACCCCGATTTTACTACACTCTTTAACCGAAAACTCAGGTCTTAACCTAGAGCGGCTACCTGAAAAATACTTCTGTGGAATATATAATTGATTTAAATTTTTGAAATATTTTCCAGAACCGGGGTGCTCATCTTTATTAATCAACACAAAACTATAAGATACTTTATAAGTTTCATTACACAGTTCTTGAAACTCGGAGATTCGTTAGCTCTCATTTTATTTAGAAAATTTATCGAAGGGGTTTTGCTACTTAAGGTATGTTTTTTCACATGACCTATATTAGATGATTCGTTAGCTCTCATTTTATAAAGAAAAAAATTAGAAGCACATTGAAAAAATTTTTTTATTCTAATACATTTATTTGCTCTTATTTAATTAACATTGAATAAATAAGAATTATTTAACTGGTTCAACGAGGTAATGCATGCACCAATTTTGCAGAAGTTAAGGGGAGCATCTGTTCAAAATCTTTCAATTTTGGCTTTTTCGATTTTTATGTTCATATTAAAGCTGACATTGACGAATCCAACGGTTTAAAAAATAATGGTGATACCAATTGGTGGGGGTAAAATGAAAAAAAAATCCGAAAAATTCATGAAAAATGCTCCCATACCTATAAAAATGAGAATTTAAAAAAAGCCTTCAACAACTTTTAGATATGGTCTTTACGCATCGAATGATATGATATGAAAATCCTAGGGGGAGATATTTTTCTATAGTACTCCCTTCTATTAACCGTTTTCTAAGAATATTACGTTTTTTTCTTTCTTTTTAATCACCGATAGCATTGATGTCGGTAGCGCATGCCACGCGTCACCGTTGATCTATAGTACCCCCTTCTAGCACATGCAAAGGTATTATTGGGTATGAGACTGTCGTTGCAGGAGAGAGAGAACCGGGGTAATACTATGAGAAATGAGTGAGTCATAGCTGAAAATCCAGTTTTTCAATGAGCTGTATCAAAAGAAAATGAAGTGACCTTCTGAATTAAGTAGAGTAACTATGTTAAACTGAGGTTCTTATTTGCTCTGTAGATTCTTCCGTACGAGATCAATAAGTAGGGATTGCCTTCTGGAATATCCTCACTCGACGGGAGTTCAGGGCTTAATGTATTACAGATCAGCTAGCGGTCGAGGGCAAATACAGTATTTTTTAGAACACTCTCGATATTAGCGTGCGATGCATCCTACCTCTGCCAGACCGGTCCTGGTTCTGGAGCGATTTTTTGTGGAAGCTAATTTTGATAGCTCACTCAGCTAGAGCTGGGGGCGCGCCATGGAAAAAAAACTGACTCAAGGTTTCAAGCTGGTTTGATCCAAATGACTCAAACCTGGTAAATGACTCAAATGACTCAATCGGGGTAAATGATCGTTAACTCACGATTCGGGAGTATTAATTTTGTTGGGTAACATTCATGATCGGTACCCTGTTAAGCTGTTTATGCAGATTCTGGGGTAATTGTTCGTAATAATATTGAAGGATCAGGGGTAATTGGTTAATTTTGTTGGGTAAGATTTGGGGTAAATGGTTGTGGTAACCTATGATTTAAGCTGTTTATGGAAAATGGCGCCATGCGCTCGGTTATGTAACTATTGGTGTAATAGATTTATTTTAGTTACCGCCGCAAGATGGTAACGAAAAATACCGCCGCCTGTAGCTGTAACGCCGCCGCCTGTAACGAAAAATACCGCCTCTAATATTTTTCGTTTCAGTTACCATGTTTATGGCGAATTTTCTGATTTATGATTAAAATATTAGCATTCATTTAAATTAGTGATAAATATTAATGTATTTTTCAGTTACCGACGCAAAATGGGGGATTTGTCTCGCATATTTCGAGACCAGCTCGTCTCGCCGCTGGACACGGCGGTCTACTGGACCGAGTACGCAGCAAGACACCAGGGAGCGCCACACCTCCAGTCTCCTGCCAAAAGCCTTTCTTTCATAAAGTTATTTGGGCTTGATATCTTGGCTCTGGTTATCTTCGGGTCTTTAATAAGCTATATGATTATGAAAAAAACCTATTCAACTCTCGGAATGTGCACTGGAAGAAATCGCAAATTATCCAAACAGAAGTCATGTTAATCAAAACATGAAGGTATCGGAATCAACGTTGATTAGAATGTCCTTGTCGGAAGTTCAAAACGGATTCTCTTTTTCGTCAAGACTATTGCAAGCAAACTTTTTGTACTTCCAAAAAAACAAAAAGTATAGTAGAAAAATAAAATAGTCAGGCTCAATAATCACAATAATAGTCAATAATCTCATCCCAGGCATGGGATGAGATTATTCCCTATGAGATTAAGTTAAATGTGAAATAGTTATGAATTATGTAAGATTCATAACCTTGTGCGATCAGATTATCTGTAATAATTGGGCACGATCCTGTTGACAAGTTTAAAATTCAGGCAATTATGGATCCATCAGCTGATGTATGAAAAGTAATGTATGAAATTTTACAGAAGTATCGTTCATCCTTTGATTAGTTAATGCATTGTATTCAGTCGAGATTCATATTTTGCATTCTGCAGCAATTGTTAATTTTTATTTAATGATGTGTAAGAAAATGCATGTTGTCTTAAAATCTTTCGCAAGATCTTCATCGATAATTCAATTGACTGACAATTTGACCTCAAGACGTTAAAATTAGGCCAATCTAGATTTTAGAAAAACCAAATATTTCATTGAAATAATATATCCATGATCTATTTACACGGAAAAGTTCCTTCGGCTTTTGTTATGAGCATAAGAGCTCTAATGAAATTGAAATAAATTGTCTGCACGTCCAATGTTTTAGGGATGCCCTCATTTATCGCTGGTATTTCTATTCAGCTGCAGGATTTAGGCGTGATAAATACTGTTTCATGAAATGGTTTTCAGATAGTGATAGTAGTAGCATTACAGTAAATATTTCGGAAATACTATCAAAATATTGTACCGTGTTACGTGCACGTATTCCTAGTTAAGATTATCCTGAATATAGAGGAGCAAGTAAAAAAAATGTAACTCAGTACTCACAGCAGTGAGTGACAGAGAGCGCATTTTCTCGTCGACGAAAACTTGAGGTCACTGACGGACGGACAGACGGACGGACAGACAGACAGACGGACATGGCGAACGCAATAGTGCATTTTTTCCATAAATGAGAAAATGCGCTAAAAATGCCGTCAATGATTGTGGAATAGTACACTTGAATGAATTGTGAAATTAATATCTACAGCACATTGTACATACTCATTTTTGTTGTACATACTCTACCGTAGTTTCTCATTTCTATTGTACATACTCTACCGTATCTACTCATTTCAGCTGTACATACTCTACCGTAGATACTCATTTCTACCGTACATTGTACATTAGCTCGCTAAGCGTCAGGGCATTCGTACGTCACGTCGAAAAGCTGTGTCGATCATTGCCTGTCAGGTAATTACAAAGTAAATCGTATTTCTTAGTTAGAGTTAGCTTTCCCTCACACATCTTTACATGACAACTTCATTCGCTCACTTTTAACCAAGTAAAAGCCGTAGACTTTTCCGAGCGAGTTATTTCTGTTTATATCGAGGTTACCGATTATATACATAACAGCTTAATAAGCCGGAAATTGTACGTTGCTAATTTTCTGATAAATGTATTGATCCATGAAAGTTTGGCACTGCATTGATTAATCAAGTTACATCCATCTCTCCTCACACCGCGTCTCATCTATGTATAAGAAATCAGTTCATTTTAGAATAATTGGTAATCGGATAGATTCGGGGAACTCAGATTTTAGTGTTTTCTTTTATTATAATTCAGTTAACATTTGTCTGCTAATAATTCGTGGAAATGATTTGCTGTGACAATTTTTTACAGAAAATAGGCAACTTTATTTAACTAAGTAATGACATTACATTACATTACATTATATTGGATTACATTACGTTATATTACATTATATAACATCACATTAAATTACATCACATTGCATCACATTACATTAAATAAAAACACATACAGTGAGGGGAAATAAGTATTCGTAAACTTGAAAAATCGTATTTTAATGTATGTAAGTACACAAACTTATAACAGGAAAAGTGATTTAAATTATGTATAGAGACGCATAGTATTCAAAAATACTATCAAAAGAAATTAAATCTCAATGCAACAAAAAACAATGCAACATGTACTTTTTTCACCCGAAAAGTGAACATGTTGCATTGTTTTTTGTTGCATTGAGATTTAATTTCTTTTGATAGTATTTTTGAATACTATGCGTCTCTATACATAATTTAAATCACTTTTCCTGTTAAGTTTGTGTACTTACATACATTAAAATACGATTTTTCATGTTTACGAATATTTATTTCCCCCCACTGTATCATTACCTTGCATAGCATCTCATTACGTTACATTACGTTACATTCAATTACATTGCATTTCATTAGATCAAATTACATCACATTATATTACATGACATCTCATTACATCACACCACATTACATTAAATTGCTTCACATTGCAATGTAATAAATTTCGTCCTTGATGCTCAATTTGGGCCGAAATGATTAGGGTGTATAAGAAATTCTGTTCAGTTTTAATTTAAGGGAGACTATGAAGATTAAGATTGAATAGTTATTAACGTCTAGGAAAAGGAATTAACAGTTAGCGCTTTGGAAGGAGGTGACAAATGGTGCATTCTAGATTGCTGTAAAATGTACAGCATAATATGTGCATTTCCTCTCTATGTTAACCTGATTTAATGCATGGAATGGGCCCCTAGTCCTGTTAATGCATGTAAATTCACTTCTTTGGTTGGACCCAACAATGCGAAGTCGTCTATGACGCATTAATCACTTCGGCCTTATTGCCGGCCTAAAACCTCAACCTTATTACTAATTAATTTATTTACTAAATTAGCTGAGTTGGGCCAACCTATTACTAAACATTGCACATTTTATCTAAGTCAAACCTCTGAATGGCATCTAATGCTACTTCTAAATGGAGCCATCGGCAATAATTTAGAAGGTTAGTTAAATCAATATTTGATCGCACTTAACTGAACGACTATATTTGAGATCATAGTGTTCAATTAAATAGCCCTTTATATTTTACTGTAATTCAAGAAGTCTTTGTTACGTTACAGTATAACGACTATCATCACACGTCACCCATTCTACGGGAACTTTGTCGTACGGAACGCCTCGTCTGTTTGCTGCTGCCGTATTTAGTGTCGCAAAGGTTAATGCTGGGAATCAATTGCACTGCCAAATCATACGCCGATAAATTGGAATACAGAATATGATCATAAAAAGCATACTTGAACTACGTTTGTCAGTTAATCAGACTGTTTTTTCTCTGGTTGCAGTTGCTCCACTGCTTCTTCACTTCTTATTCTCTTGCCTTCGAAAACCTTCGAAGATTTATCCTGTGGATTCTCAAATAAAGTTTATCAGCGATTATATTTGTGTAAATTCCTTACAGGTGCTACATGCTCATATTTTGTTCATTTTTTTATTTTTCGTAACAAAAAATTACCTTCAAGGTTTTATCAGCTGCCTGCAATGTTAAGATAAAAAAAATTTTCCTATAATTATTCAACGATTGCCGAAGAATAACTTTAAATTATCGTCTAGGTGGAGCATGAGCGGGCAAAGATCCAGTTTTCAATGTCGTAGTCAAGCTCCAGTTTTTTTCACGTGTTGCTTTTTAATTAAGGAAAAATTCTTCGTTAGGATTATCTCACTTACCGCGATTAGTCGTGGAGGTGACTTTTCTGCGTGTATAGCTGTGCCGTAGTCATTGCTTATACTACAGATCTCTTCATTCATTAGTAAACTATTTCAATAATTTTGTTTGGTATCACATTGTGCTAGAGCTTAGGTTATATGAGAGAGAATTCTATTACACGAGTCAACGTTGAATCCTTGTAAGCAAGTCTGCGTTTGATTCCAGTATCTTGCCACAGCAAGGATTTGCTTTGGCGCTTTGAGCGGCTCAAGGCCGGCAGGAACCTGGAACCTCAAGGCCGGCAGGAGGAAAATTGTTCGGGAAATTTCCGATCCGGGCTTCTGGAAGGACCACGGCGAAGAAGCAGAACGTGCTCAGTCCATATAAAGCTGAGCCGCTGCTCTCGTAGAATGCTTAATTCTGTAAACTCTACTGCGCGGTCGTGATCAGTTCCTCTACGTGCTTAATGTTGCCTTAGTTTCCCTAATTCTCTAAATGAATGGTGTTAATTTGTTGTGCACAACCTTTGCTTTGTTTAAATTTCAGTTCTGGGGTGCATGCGTTTTTTCACTTCTTTTGACACTTTGGCCAGCTCGTCAAATTGCCTATTTGACTTGAAACCTTAAAACCTTTAAACTTTAACTGTTAACCTCTAAACTTTAAACCTTGAAATTATTACCTTGACTGGCCAAGGTGGTCATTCTCTATACTAAGGTGACCTATATTTATGTTTGGAACTGCCGCGCGTTAAATTAAATCATTTATCATTACTACAATTGATTTCTACGTCTATAAGCACTACGCAATATGTGCACTTAATCATAATCGATTAAGGTGAGCCATATGCTTTTATTAGCGTAAACTTCTGAACCACTTCTAATTAACTACTGAAATATTTGAATTAATACTATTTACTAGATTACTGACTCTATTGTAATGATGCGTTTGTTTCACCAGTATCTCCAGTAATCTTCAACATCTGCCTTTCTGCCAAAATTAAGTTAAAGAATAGATTTTAAACTACCTTGAATATGAAGAAACTGCCCCGAATAAGAAGCTTTGAATAAATTCTTATTAAAATGCCTTAATTGATGATCACTTATTTCTATCCTGCTTAGCGCTTAACTTTAGAAATCATTTCTAGAAGAGGATTACCTCCAACGTAGGGAATAAAACCCTACAAAGGAAATATTATTTTTTTCACTTGAATTTGAATTCCATTTGCTAAAGTTCATATATGTCGAAAGTAATAGAGCATAAAATATTTAAATCCAAGTAATTGTGTTCGAGAATTTAGTGTCACATATTAGTTGATTGTTTCCATATATTTTCATGAGACGGAAGTTTTTTAACAGCGTTTCGCGCGAAATAAATCCGTCCAATTCCGACATTTTTTCACTGACATTACATGGCAAAGAAGTTAGTGGCATCATTTCTGTAAAATCATCATCAGAGAAGCAGTGCTTTCCGTAATCTGATTTCTTGAATTCATTGATTAAGCCAGATTAGTTGAGAGATTTAATGATATTTCTCAACGGATATTTCCAGCGAACTAGCATCGTACATGTTTGTACAACGCAAAACCGGTTCCAGCTTTGAAAAATCTACGCTTGACACTCGCGCCATGTTCAGGGATGATACGAGATTCGCATTGTTTTTTTCCTTTTTTTTTCTTTGAGAACTTGTAAAATATTTATCAAGTATAAATGGTAACACATACAGATTCATGGCACCCTCCCATAGCATGAACAAATTAGAAAGAGCGTAATGCAGCCATCACCGTCCACAATTGTCTCAGTGAGTCGGTTGACGCTCGT